GTCGTTAAAAACGAGTAGGGGGTTAGTAGATGGGGAGATGGAGGTTTTGGGTAATGGCAGAATATTTTGGGGAAAACTTTTAAATGTTAGGAAAGAAAGGGAGGGGAAATTTCATGCATGGCCAGGGGGTATACCATTTTTAGGATGAAGAAGAGCAGAATGAAAGTGTGGTGGAGGCTGGGATTACGAGAATAAAAGGGGGGAAAGCAGCTGGAATTGGGGGATCATGAAAAAAAGTTAAAAGAGGGGGGATTAGTGTTTAGTGGTTGGTACTTTTGTTTAAAAAATGTAGAAAGGGGGAAAACCTAGGGATTGGGGGAGGCATGTAATCCCCCTTTTTATAAAGGGAAAGGGGACAAAAGAATGTAAAAATTTAGAGAATAAGTTTTTCTGGGTATACCCGGAAAAAATATACGGTGGGTTATAATTTAAAGAATTAGAGGTAAGAAGAATGTAGAAATTGCGGGCGAGCAAGGAGGCTTCGAGTGGGGAGGGGGGTGTGTAGATCAAGTTTTTACATTGGGAAAAACATATATGTGAAAAAGATTTAGATAAAGGTAGGGGAAATTTTTATTGCTTTATGGGTTTTGAAAAAGGGAAATGATAGGTGGATAAGGAGCATGTGGCAGATGTTGCAAGTATATGGAATAGGGGGTAAGTTCTAAATGCTGAAAGGGGGCTTTTATGAGGGTATGAGGCTCAGGTTAGGGTGTGTAGAAGAAGGGGGAAAAACTTCCGTAAAAGAGGTCTTAGAAGGGATTGTATGTACCTGGTTTTTTAAAATTTTTTATAGATGGGTTTTAAAAGAAGTAAATGCTAGGGTGTTCGGGAGAGGGGTGGGATTTAAATTTTGGGGGAAACAAAATTTAAAAAAGGGGAAAGACACAGTTTTCTTTTTGCTGATGATACGTGTTATGGAGATTCTAAAAAAAAAATTACAAAAGGGTTTGTGGATGAGTTTGGGAAAGTTGTAAAGGTAGAAAAATTGAAAGTGAACATAAAAGGTAAGGTGTGAGGGGATCAATGATTTTAAAAAAAGAAAAATTGTATCAAATTTGGGGGAAAAGGAGTATGGAAGAAGTGAATTTTTTCAATACTTGGGGGTTGACGTGTGGCGATGGTTTATGAAGGGTGAGGGGTTTAAACAGAATTGATAGGAAAAAAGGGGATGGTGCGTTTAGGTATATGTGGGTCAAAAAAACGTTTTCAAAGGAGGGAAAGAAAGGGAAAGTATGAAAGTTGTATACCAACACCTTTATGGATGTAAACTTGGGTGGGTAAAAAGCAGCAGGAGGGGGACGGTTGGAGGCAGTGGAGATGTCCTGTCTAAGGGGAAATTTGGTGTAAAAAATTTTGCAGAAAATTTGGGGTGTGGAAATTAGGAGAAGGTTGAGTTAAAAAAGCATTAGTCAGAGGGCAGAAGAGGGGTTGTTTAGGGGGTTTGTCATTTAGAGAGAATGGATCAAAGTAGAATGACATGGAAAGCATATAAATCTATAGGGGGAGGAAAGAGGGGTAGGGGTCGTCCTCGAAAGGGTTGGAAAGAGGGGGTAAAGGAGGTTTTGTGGGTGGAGGCTTGGACTTCCAGCAAGCGTGCATGAGGTGTTAGATAGGAGTGAGATGGAGACGAATGATACTTGGGACCTGACGATCTGTTGGAGTGTGAGCAGGGTAATATTTAGTGAAGGGATTCAGGGAAACCGGTTATTTTCATATAGTCGGACTTGAGTCCTGGAAATGGGAAGTACAATGCCTGCACTTTAAAGGAGGGGTTTGGGATATTGGCAGTTTGGAGGGATATGTTGTGTATCTCTATACGTATATGCTTCTAAACTGTTGTATTCTGAGCACCTCTGCAAAAGCAGTGATAATGTGTGAGTGTGGTGAAAGTGTTGAATGATGATGAAAGTATTTTCTTTTTGGGGATTTTCTTTCTTTTTTTGGGTCACCCTGCCTCGGTGGAGACGGCCGACTTGTTGAAAAATATATATTATATATATATATATATATTATATATATATATATATATATATAATATATATATATATATATATATAATATTATAAATATATATATATATATATTATATATATATATGACTTTTCATTCTTATACCCTGGAAATCCCTTACTGAACCGAAGATACGTTGCCAAAACAACTGTATCTTAAGCAGTAATCATGACTGCTTCAAAATCAGTTTATTCTGAATGCATTGCACGGGGAAGTATGCGAGTGTCTGATTCTCCTCGTAAAATTTCTTCAACAGGAACTTCCTATCAATTTTCTTTGAAAATCTTGTAGCAAATTTCATCATAGGTTACACAAACATTTTCTAGGTTTTTCTGTAATAGGCTCTTTGACCTCCTCCAGGATCTTACCATATATTTTTTTTTTTTTTTGAAAAGCTGTCAAATAATGGTTTTTGCTTTTGATTCTTGGTATCTAATACAGAGCTTTAAATAGTATTTTCTTAACAGTTATTGGAATAAAACACCGACGCGATGAGAATAACTAACAATGCAGTTACACAAAAGTGTTCATAATGATTCACTGTCGCATAAACTTTTTCAGATCACAAACATATAACTGCATGTGTAACTAATTCTCAAATCATTGCAGTGTTTTTCCCTATTGTATCTCTGATGCTTCACGATGCACATCAGAGACAATATCAGTAAACTGATCATGTGATACATTACGTACTACTGATGAAAATAATGGTTCAGTCAGTAATGTTTATGTTCTGTCATAACTTATGTACTGGTTTCAAACCACTTACGATGGCTGCGAAGGTTTGTGGTATAACTTCTACAGATTTTCTTTAAGTGATAGAAAAAGGTTATATATAATTTTCTAGCTGTTTCATGAATGACACTATCCTAGAAGATGCCTCTACTGGTCACTATATTTTCCACATAAACAGTGTCTCTAATTTGACCATTAAACTATGCACTTCAAAGTTGTGCTCACCAGGGAATCATATAATGTTTGTCGAGCCTTGATTTTATTTTATTTGCTGCTTTCATTTACTTCTCATTAATAACTTTTCAAAATTTCTGTTGAATCAGCACCAGTCCATTAATTCTGAATTGCTTGCTAACTGTTGGTAAAAGTTACATTTCCTGGGGAATACTCACATTCATACGATAATATTCTCGAACTTGTCATCTGACAGTGATATTCCTGGTCTTGGCCTCCCATGTTAATATTCCTGAACGTGTGAGTATTCTATCTTGTTATCACAGAAGATTTATCATGGATTGCTTCATAAAATGTACATATTATAGCAGCTGAAAAAGAAACATGATTGTGAGTGACTGGTTAAGTACATCACTAATAGACTTTACTTCTGCATATGACTGGTAGTAATGGTCCTCAGTCACAAGACTTTTCAGCGTAAGATAACAGTCATAACTATATCTATTTGATAACTTTTGCTTATCTGACATTGGTTCAGTTCGTCGTTAACAGACATAACTCTTGTGTATAAACAGTAATAACGACCCTCAGTAGCAACACGTTACCTGCTTAAGATAGCAAGTATAATTACGTTTATGTTGTAAATATTTACCTACTTGATATTTTGTCCAGCACATTCAGTCACTGGCTTGTTGCTGTTTTGACCAGTTGCACTCTTATTATAGGCCCAGAAATATGTAATTAATCATAATATAATCTAGAACAACCTTGTGCAACGTAAACTTATTTTAAATTTTCCTAGACAAGCAAAACATCAAAAAATTTCATCGTTTAACAGTCTACGCAAAATAATACAAAATACTGGACAGGGACGTGAAAAAATATTTGCCGCTGATCGTGTACCAAACAGAATGGATTAAAAATTTAGTGAAAGCAAAAGGTCAGATGACCAGATATTGATGTTATGTATTTTCAAAGTTACCCAGTAAAGTTCATAAACTTTTTTGAGCGTTTTATGTATCCTTTTCCATACTTTTTGCTTTTGCAGCAAGTGATTTCTTTTTGGATGAGACTGTAAAAATACTTTGGCGTTTGTTGTGATGCTATATCATCTCACTCGTGGGCACGTCATTATCTATGTCCTAGATGGGGGCATGAATCCTAATCTTAGAAGAGCTTTCCATGTATCAAGATTTTGTTATGACATCAATTTAGAATCTCAGTGTCGTCAAAAAATTGTATGTTATAGTCCATGTGAGGTTGTTTCTACTGTCATATTTGATTCGTTCCAGTGAGGATGCAGGAACTGCAGTAAATATCGTGTTATAAGTACTTGTGACCTGTTAAAGGCAAAGTTGGGTTTAAGGAAATTATTTGGTAACTAAGACGACGACACACACCAAAAATATGCAAAAATACCAATATGCTAAAATATTAAAATTCTGAATAAATAAGCAATGCTACTCTTTTGAACATATCACATTAATTTACTCGTATCATACCAGTAATTTACTCGTATCATACCAGTAATTTACTCGTATCATACCAGTAATTTACTCGTATCATACCAGTAATTTACTCGTATCATACCAGTAATTTACTCGTATCATACCAGTAATTTACTCGTATCATACCAGTAATTTACTGTAATACGTGGAAAGTTTCCCCAAGACAAGATTACAGAGATTTAATCTTGCAAACTAATACTTTTAAACCACAATTATAGTTGAATTGCTAAGAATATTTATTTAAATACTTTTTGGAAACACAGAAAACGAAATGTTTTCTCCTTTTGTTTCATCTGTGTTTGTTGGAAACTTGATGTTTACTAAAGAATAACACAGAATGTTATTAACTGAAATTTAATGAAAAAATTATTATGCCTAAATAAATATATGAAAATCTAAAAAGTAAAGTTATTAATATTTTAAATGTATTAATGTAATCATTTCTTCCTTGCGTTTGCTTATGCTGCTGCTCATGCTGCTTCTGCTGCTGATGCCACTGCTGTATCTACTGCTGCTGTTGTTGATGCTGCTGCTATTGCTGCTGCTTCTGATGGCGGTTATGTGTTGATGCAGAGCGTCCTGGAAAGCCGGTGGTGAAGATAGAAGGAGGTGATGGATCAGAGGTGGTAGCTGGCTCGAGAGTCCGTCTGTTGTGTTCCAGCCTGGGAGGCCGTCCCCAGCCCAGCGTCACGTGGGTACTTAGCCAATAATGCCTATTTTCCTGCACGCATTTTCTTTATGAACTTTCTCGAGTTACATATTCTTGTAAACATTATCTATTGCACTTAGACGACTCGTATATTCCTGCACACATTACACAGTCTGTATAATCGCGATTTTGCGACATGTATACTCACCACTTCTACATGTATACTCGTATATGTTAAAAGTTCAACTCTGGGTAATTTATTATACATAAACGTGCGTTTACCGTACTCGACAATATGACTACTGACCTTTGACCAAGACTGATCATCATTTACGTCTTATTTTAATCCTTCCACTAGTGCCTCAGGTGTAAAATACCTCACTTAGCTGTGGAAACTGAGTACGTGCTAGAACAACCCACTAGCCTGTACGTGAGCCATCCCTGACATCTGTTGACACATCCGTCAGCCATTTCCACTTAAATTCTTCTCCACTTTGATCTCCTCATCCATATGAGCCTTTCATCTTGAGACTTGAGACTTTTTCCTCTTAACTGGGCCACTCTTGAGCCACACCCGTTTAGAGCTGTTCCCCTCTTGATTCATTTCCCTCTTGATACTCCTCTTGTATTCTTCTATGTCCAGCTTTCCCAGGCATGTGTGAGGAGGATTTAGGATGCTCATAACCGTTTCCCAAGATATGTCTGATAGTTCTTGCTTAATTTTGTCCCAGTCAATTCTTTGGTTATTGAAGTTAAACTAAATAATCATCCCTTCTCTTGCATTAGCGCTGTACTTCCCAACAATGAGTTTGTACTCGTTTGAAGTTGTGGTCAGATTGCATTGTTTTCGTGATTGCTACGTACCTGTTTAATTCCTCGTTGTTTGTGGATATCATATCCAATGTATTTATATTCCTTGTATGATAAGTTATCTGTTGGTTCAATGTGAACTTTTTAGAAAGCCTCATTAGTTTCCTAGTCTGTAACTATTGAGCCAGAGTGCTTCCAGGAACTATTGCTGGTATAATACTGTGATGAACCATCTTCCATCTTACATTTGGGAGATAAAAATCTCAAAGGAAGATAATATCCGATGTGGGATTTTCCAGCCTTTTAAGACAACTATCTATCTTCCTTAACTGATTTGTGAATTGCTCAGCTGACGGTACCTTATATACGAGGATAATTACCTGATTCCTATTTTCAACCTTAATACCTTAAACTTCTATTGCAACATTTGATGAATTCAGTAATTCTGTGAGACAAAACGTATCAATTACATGAAGTCCAATTCCACTCTGTGATTTTTTAAATCTGTTGCATCTATATATACATATTATAATTCTAATCGATATCTTTATGTCAGATACATCCGTTATATGGCATTCACTTCTGTGAGAATCCCAGTAATGTAACTAACTTTGTCATTTTGATTTAATTTCAAACCCAGAATGTTTGCTAAAACGAAGAAGAATTTACCATTTGGAATGTTTTGATTTGGGGTGTTTTGTTAGTGCCACTGGTGATGCACTACCTTGTATGGCCCCTGGTGTACACACCTCTGTTCTGTTAGTACCACTGGTGATGTACTACCTTGTATGGCCCCTGGTGTACACACCTTTGTTCTGTTAGTACCACTGGTGATGTACTACCTTGTATGGCCCCTGGTGTACACACCTCTGTTTTGTTAGTGCCACTGGTGATGTACTACCTTGTATGGCCCCTGGTGTACACACCTCTGTTTTGTTAGTACCACTGGTGATGCACTACCTTGTATGGCCCCTGGTGTACACACCTCTGTTTTGTTAGTGCCACTGGTGATGTACTACCTTGTATGGCCCCTGGTGTACACACCTTTGTTTTATTAGTACCACTGGTGATGTACTACCTTGTATGGCCCCTGGTGTACTCACCTTTGTTTTTTTAGTACCACTGGTGATGTACTACCTTGTATGGCCCCTGGTGTACACACATTTGTTTTGTTAGTACCACTGGTGATGCACTACCTTGTATGGCCCCTGGTGTACACACCTCTGTTTTGTTAGTACCACTGGTGATGTACTACCTTGTATGGCCCCTGGTGTACACGCCTCTGTTTTGTTAGTACCACTGGTGATGTACTACCTTGTATGGCCCCTGGTGTACACACCCCTGTTTTCTCCATTATTGACTTGCATTTGTCTATTGTACATTCGACCCTGTTGAGTGTATGACTGACTTGGTTTGTCCCACTGTTGTACACCTTTGTCCCATTTGTAATATTTCCTTGTTTGTCCCGTTTTATGAGTCTGCTCGTTTCTCTTCTTGTCAAAAATACGAATGCTGTTCATTTTTCATTGCCCTGCCTTCTCTGTAGCGCCACCATCACTTCACGAGGTAGTCTGGGCAGATAAGCTCACAACATTCCCTGAGCTGCATTGATGCTGTGCACATCACTGGGTGAAAGTATCTGTATTCATTTTTCAAAGAGACATTTCCCTTTCCTTATCATGTTTGTACAATTTTTGGTGTGTTAATACCAGCATTTTCTCAGATATAAGCACAACTCTCGGTTTCTGAGAAATGATGTGTGTTCTCTCGTTTTCTTTTCCCTGATCATATTTCTGAAGGTTATTGTTTCTTGTTTTCCTGCTATGTACGTTTCTTCTTCCCTTTCATTTCTCTCACTTTCTTGTATCCTTTTTTCCGTCTTCTCTTTCCTGTCCTGAGTATCAATTTTCTCCCTTATTTCAGCAGCTCTTTGTTCCCTACCTTTATTTTCCATATTCTCCTTGTTTCCTTATGTGATTTTCTCTCTCTTTGTATATTTCTAGTAAGCTCCTCTGGAAATTTCTCACATTTTCTAGGTTTTCGATTTTCAACATTTCCTTATGCCTATACAGCGTTCCATTTCACTGAGGCAAATCCAGAAACATCTTTCCTGTTTAAGAAGAAGAAAACGAACATAAGAAAAAAGGAATATTGCAACAGGCCTACTGGCCTATGCAAGGCAAGTCCAATTCTCCCACCGGGTTAAGCCAATGCCTTGACCTAGTGAGGTCAGACACGTCACTTAAGGGAGGAGCACGGCATCCGACCTAGTAGCACAAGCTAGTCAGGTCCAACTCACACCCACCCATTGTTCGTGGCTGTTTGAAATTTCGTACCACATTTTCCAATTTCAGTGCCACTTATATTTAGCTGAATTTGGGTAAGTAAAATTACTTGAGGTTAAGGTTAATGTTAAGTGAGAGTTCTGTTTTAGGTTTGGTCAAGTGCAATTTTTAAGGGAGTTCGGATTGTTTTTCAAGTTCGGTTTTTGGGGATGGGACGATAACAAAATTTTTGCCGATACCGATGCTAATACTCAATTTTCGGCCGATACCGGAACTTTTCCTATATTTTATATTTTTATGATTATAATTACTATGATCAAAGTCAGCAAAGTCATTCAGAAATCACAACTGTTATTGAGTACTTGTACTTGTTTGTACAGTTCACTTCAGAATTTTTGACGCAAAATTAGAGAAGATTTTGACAAACTTGATGGACAAACAAAAGTCACCTTGACAAATGTTAACTACAGAACTGTCACGAGGAGACGAAGAGTAAGGTAACAGCAAGGTAATGATGGAAGTGCACCTGATCCTGATGCTTTAGATGAACTCTCTTCAAGGGAAAAGTTTAGGATAATATCCTTTATCTCCGTACTAGACGCACTTGAAGCCAGTTTAAGAAGAAGAGCTAATGTGTACAGTGAGGTTGCACGAATGTTTTCCTTTATTGTTAATCTGACAGCATCTTAGCAAGGAATTCAGAAAAGTGTTGAACTGTTGATGGCGGCACAACCCAGAAGATGTTCACCTGAAATTCACTGATGAACGTTTGTACTTTCGCCTGTACCTGAGACAAATCCATAGGCCTAAAGAAGAGCAATCACTGTCTCATACAGAACATCAAATTATATACAAGGAAAAAATCAGATAGCCTTCCCTAGTGTGGAAACAATCTTGCTGTTATTTATTAGCTTAATGGTCAATAACCACTGGGTAGAGAGAGGTCTTTTTTCAGGCCTCAAAAGAATTAAAAATGAATTATGGGCCACAATGTCTCACGAGAGGTTGTCAACACTGAACATTCTGTGCATTGAAAGTGACAGACTTGGACAAACAAATTTTGACGAACTTTTGGATGATTTTGCTATGAAGAAGGTTAGAAAAAAAGCTTTTTTAATCTTAGTGTATTTAATGATTGTAGTTTCTTTACTTCTTAATATACATTTTAAAAGAAAAAGAATATATATATATATATATATATGTATATATATATATATATATATATATATATATATATAATATATATATATATATATACATATATATTTTTTTTCTTTTTTTCAATAAACCGGCCGTATCCCACCAAGGCAGGGTAACCCAAACAGAAAAACGAAAGTTTCTCTTTTTAAATTTAGTAATTTATACAGGAGAAGGGGTTACTAGCCTCTTGCTCCAGGCATTTTAGTCGCCTCTTACAACACTTATGGCTTACGGAGGAAGAATTCTGTTCCACATCCCCATGGAGATAAGAGGAAATAAACAAGAACAAGAACTAGAAAGAAAATAGAAGAAAACCCAGAGGGGTGTGTATATATACATATCTATGCTTGTACATGCATGTGTAGTGTGACCTAAGTGTAAGTAGAAGTAGCAAGACGTACCTGAAATCTTGCATGTTTATGAGACAGAAAAAAGGACACCAGCAATCCTACAATCATGGAAAACAATTACAGGCTTTCGTTTTACACTCACTTGGCAGGACGGTAGTACCTCCCTGGGCGGTTGCTGTCTATCAACCTACTACCTAGAATTATATATATATATATATATATATATATATATATATATATATATATATATACATATATATATATATATATATATATATATATATATATATATATATATATATATATATATATATATATGCGTGTGTGTGTGTGTTACAAAAAAGCGATATCTTTGAAGTATTATTATTATAATCAAGGGGATGCGCTAAACCCGTAGGAATATACAGTCGATATCTATAAAGCATAGCCATCTCCACTGAATACTAGAGAGGACTGCCCCTTATAGCATTCAGCTCGGTACTGGGTTTTGTATTAAGTAGTCAGTATCCTGGTCCAATTTTCCATTAGAAGGATGCTTCAGGATA